GTACAGCAGAATGTACACTTATGATGCTGAAATTATTTTAATAGTATTATTATTAATCATGTAATTAATGCTCTGAACTGGCCTTTGAGTCATTTTATTTCAGAATCTGTTAAAATCCAAGTGAGCTTAATCACTCTGCTGTACAAATAATTCTGATTGTTAAGTCCTTGTCATTTTGAATCTGGGAAATCTTATGAGAACTACATGGTGTCCCTTAAAAAAAAAATTAACATTTACAAGCTAGGCAATCCATCCCACGGGAATGTCTGAACGGTTTGATATGTTCGGAGAATTATTCTGGTCTGAAAAGAGCGTTTCCTTCTCCATAGCTCAGTACCACGTCTGCAGTTTCATTTTTAGTTTAGTTCCTGGTCGCTTCAGGCCCTTTAGGCATATATGGCTATAGCCACTGGTGCTCATGCATGCTTCACTCAATTTTGCCAATATTGCTAGCTAATGTCATGAAGAGTGGTGACCTCAGGGGCGCATTTACATGTGAACATTAAAGTGATGCAATAAACTCCGGTGCTTATGGCATGTGTTTATTGATCCCAGGCATACGTTTGCATGTGTGCCTGGGATCACAGCATGCTGAGCAGGGTTGAAGCAGTGCCCAGGGGGGCAGCCTGCCAGTCCAGGGCTGCTCCCCCCAGCTCAACGTGCTGCAGAGAGGCTGGCTGGGACATGAGGGTACTTCACTGTGGGGCTGGCCAGCAGGCAGTCCATGCACTGAAACATCCTTGTGCCCCAGCTAGCCGGGGCAGTGTCTACAACTGCTCTGCTGCATTTTTTACACTGCTGCAGGATAGTACTTGTATTTGCAAGTGGTATCTTGCTGTGGTGTAAAATAGTTTACTTCAGCCTAATAGAGGGTGCATGTGTAGACACATGATGTATAATGCACAACTAATTAGCCTACTGTGCAGTGAACAACTCATATAGACGATCCCCAGGTGATTCCCATTTCCTCTCACGGGAGATCTCAAGTCCAGTTTGTTTTTTTCAAGGCAGAAACTAACACAATGTTTGTGGATTCTTGTTCTCCCTTCCTATTCCCAAATGGACTTAAGGGTGTTTGGACTGGTATAATCTGTGTTGGGGAAAGAACAGGTTGTTTCTTGGTAATCTCAGATTCCAATATAAATACTAGATTTTCTCAATACTCTGAACACCTGATGAGCAAACGTCCAAAATTTCAAATTTGTAGCTCACTGGGAACATGTAAATTGGTTTTTTTTCAGTCACTGCATGACTAAATATATATATAGATTAGATATTCCCTCAGTGCCTCATGCTGAAACTCACTGAAACCCCTTCCCTGGCAAACCAAGGCCTACAGAGGACAACATCCTGGAAGGTGACCACTCTGCGGCGGAGCCCGTACCAGTGCCCCGGAGCTCTGTGATTCCTATGAGAAATCTGATCCTCAATGGGGGAAAAGAAAAAAGCAGTCTGAGAATACCCAGTCTCTCAGCACCTTACACTTAATATACCAGTTTGCTTGTTTGCAAGCTGTCAGTGCTTCTGGGAGAATGCAGACATGCCAGTACAGTAATTTAGCTTTACAGTGTAATTCATCCGACTTAAAGCACCTATGATGTGCAATGTGAAAACAGAACAATCTTTGCACGTGGACTTTTCTTCTCTCTTTTTTTTTTTAATGAGCATTAACTGTGCAACACGAATACTAATTTGTTGTTCTTTATTTTGCAAATGCCATAAATCCAAACATCCATGCATTTCACTGAAGGCTCTTTAAAGTATTACAGGGATGGCTGTATCAAAATATTGTAGGCCATTTTCTTAATCTCCAAATTTCAGACTCACAAGTCAAATCATGTTATATACTTCCACTGAACAGAGTTCAGTCAATCAGATCCCCCTTGTTGCTCCTGTGGACACTTCACTTGAAGGCTTTTCAGCAATTTGACCATCATTTTAAAATGTTGTGCATTATGTTCTATCCTGCAGTATTACTTATGTTTTGTTCACAGATGCCTCCATTCAATACTGAAATTGCCCTGGAGCCTAAGCCTTATGATTTTGTCTGGAGATAGTCTCCTTTTGATGAACAACATATATTCTCTGGAATAAACAAGTCTTTTGTTCTGTTTCACCATTCTGACCCTGAGTGGAGTTTCTACCTCCTTATTTTTCCTTAGGGGATTTGTTTCTAAATGGACACAAAGCCACTTTAGTCTGAAATGCAACTTGCTATCTTGGGAATAAAAAAACAAACAAACATATTTCTGAACCCAAAGATTTGTCTCTAAATATAGAGTCTAATTCTAAAAGCGAATGCTGTTCCCAGAACAAGATGCCTTTCTGGTCATGAAAAACAAAATTGCATATCTATCTGCGAAAGAACATTAGAGCATTTTAGCATCAAGGGACAAGGAGAGATGGGAGGTTATTAATGTTGCAGAGGAGCAATTTTTGATATCAGTAAGTGTAAGAAGCAACTAGATGATTAAATTAGATATAACGTTATCAAGTAAGGAGGGAAATGGGCCTCTCTCCTCTCTGGGTTTCATAGATAAAGGAGTGATCCCCAGGCTAAATCTTAACGATAATTTGAAAAACAATTATTTTCATTTAACAAACTCATGCATGGCAGGGAGAATTTTGGATACTGAATGTGACTAGTAAATTTCATTTTTAAAAGATAAAATTGTACAAAATCCCTGGGACTTGGGATGTTCGCTATGGGGTCATTCGTAAGTAGGTCAGTTAACAAAACAGCACAGGTCACATACTTTTGATCAACTAATATATTGGAATAAATCTCTTTATAAATATTGTTGCTTAACCTCTCTTACACAGTTTTTCCAGCTGCAAACTACAGCCCACATAATCTGACAGAGAAGTTGGGTGCTTTACAAAATTACTCCAGCCCCTATGACTTAAAGTGCCATTTACGTTTAAAATATGAATATGTCACACGTGTCACATCTCAGTGAGATTCAAAAGGGCTAGTTTTCAAAAATCAGCTGCCAGTTTAACTGAAAGTGCACATCCTGTTGATGTGACTGCAGTACATGCTGCTGATATTATATCGGTTAACCAGGCTCCACATTTGGCTGACCGATGTTGGAGGCAGTTAGGCCCAGGGCTAAAGAGGGACCCCGGACAGGGCAAATCTGCATTCCTCACACAGGTAGAAGCCAAGAATTTGCCTGGTCAGTAAAAAACTCAAATTCCTTCCCGCCTTCTATATACCTTTTATGGACATTTAAGTTCTCTCCTCACTGCACAGCTCTCACAAAGGTGCACTTTTATTACAACTCCTATGAGGTGGTTGTGAGAAGGAGAAATCCCTCTCCCTCCCAATCAACTGCTAAGGGAGGGAGGAGGTATTTTGGATCCCAGTGCCTAGCTGTGTGTCTGGCTCGCAGCTGTGTTTTGTGCAGTTTTTTTTTCACTAGGCTATTTCTCTGCAGAGGTACAGTCGTGTCCATCAGTCATCTGGGAGGCTGTCTGCTTCGGAGGAAGTCCTGTCTCCTGACTGTGCCAGTGGCAGTCAAGGTGATGGAGTCCGAGACGTCATTGCTAAGGAGGGGAGCCGTGGGGGCTGTGCACACATTACACAAGCTCCCGAGAGGCCGGCATCTCCCAGAATCAGGACGTGGGGAGCAACCAAGAACCCCCAAGCGCTCAATGCCTTGGACTTGGCTTGGAAGAAGACTCAGACCAGAGTCATTAAGTGTGAGAAAAAGCTTATGCAGCCAAACCATCTCATTCTGCTGGTTGGCATTATCAGGGCAAACTCCCATCCATTTTGAGCCTGTTACGCATGTCTCCAGCAGTTCTCTTTTCTGGACACTGCTCTGAAGCACTCAGACTTTCAGGCTGAATTGGATTGCTAGGACAGAAGGGACACTTATGATAAATTGCCTGATACTTAGCCTGCACATAACAGCGCTAGCTTTGAATTTTC